TGTTTGAATTCAAACCTTTCTGTCAGCAACCAAGCACATCAATCTGCTGGTTCACTTGGGAGTTTAATGGTCAGGGAGCTGATCCCCTCCACCAGGGGGCAGTGAAGGCTCCCTAGGAGGTGGGCTTTTCAGTTGGGCCCTCACAACAGGGTATGGTCTGAGATGTGAGGGGAGGTGGGTACGGATGTGATGAAGAGCACCCCATGGGGGCACCCGGGAGGGGAGGCGTGCAGTGCTGGGAGCTGAGCAGGAAGGTTCTCAGGAAAGAAGGACAGAGAACTTTGGAATGATAACGTTCTGAAATCTGATTAAGAAACGGAAATCTTCATTGTTTTAGACTGACATTCAATGTTCCCATTCCTGCCTTTTCCACCCCTCAAGAGGAATTTCTTAGAACGTAGCAGGAGGCTACGTGCAGTAGCCAGCAGCAACCGTTCTGGTCAACATGCTCTCCCACGTTATCAGGTGCCCTGCTGTCCAGCAGTGGGAACAAGGAGTCCCAGTGACTACAGCGATGACGTGGTACACTGAGTGCTAACTCCAAAGTTAGCAGTTTGAACCTTCCCAGGGGCTCTGTGAGGAAAAGATCCAGTAAGCTGCTCCTGTAAAGAATACAGCTTAGGAAAGCCTATAGGATTGCTCTTCTCCATTGCATGGGGTTTCCCTCCATCAGGCGAAAATCAACACCAAATAGCACTTGACAATGACGACTGTGTGCAGATGGGCCCAGGGGTGAGGGAGTGAAGTTGGTGAAAGGTCACATGCATGCCAGCCTCTGGGAGCTTGATCCTGGAGAAAGAGCACTTTGGCTGCCCTGTTGAGTTACTCGTTGGGCTGCTAACCACAAGGTCAGCAGTTCAAACCACCCATTGCTCTGAGGTGTTATGCTCCCATGAAGATTTACGGTTTGAGAAGTGGGTGGCGCTGTTCTGCTCTGCCCTGTAGGTGGCTGTGAGTCAGAGTAGACTCGGTAACAGTGAGGTTCTCTTCACACGGGCTTCCTCTCATTTTGAGGACGGTGGAGGTATTGCTTCTTGCAGCGCTTTAAACTCAGGCGTGCCCACTTTGCTTGACAGGCCTGGCGTGGAGACTCGGGGATAAGTGTCAAGGTTTAGGGCTTAGAAGAACCAGACTGTTTTCTCCTGAGCTCACAATCCTGGGCTTCACACTGTTGCTGAAAGACAGTGACAAAATGCTTCCTTTTCCCCCATTGTTAGAGTGAAAGTCATTGTGCTAGGCTGGGTTGCCTAGAGAAACAAAACCAGGGCATAAGAAAGAACTTTACATTAAGAAGGCAACCCAGCCCAGTCCAGCTCAGTCCAGTCCAGTCCTTAAGACCAGTGCTAGCCAGGGCCATAGCTGCAGGCCGTGGCTAACCAGGGCCATAGCTGCAGGCCATGATGCAGAAAGGTTGGCAGGATGCAGGAAGATCACTCGCTACACGGGGCCCCCTGGAGGCAGTCACAGCTCCCCACAGGCAGGAGGGTAAAGGGATAGAGAGAGAGGGGAGTTCTCAGGGTCTCCCTTCTAAGAAAGCCACACTTCGAGGCCTCCTCAGAGTGTGACCTGATGGACAGGTCACACTCCACCTGGACAGTTTCATACACATTCGAGTTGACCTAAAATCATCCAACGACCACAGTCATTAGAAAAGATGCATGGCAGACAGGAAGGGAAGGGAGGATGCAAACCCTCGTAGGCTGACGTCAATGTGCCCTTGACATTTTGACCAATATATTGCCAGCCTCTTCTCTTGTCTAATCTCTTCCGTTGGTCAGTGATCAGCTATACACTGGTAGCGCTGGCCAGTTTTGATCTAATAGTATATATAAGCAGCTGTCCACCAAACTGTGGATTTTGCGTCAACGCCCACTGCACAACTTGAGACTTCTACCGAGGACCATCATCATGCTGGACTTTCACAGTGACTCACTAGCCCCGCATGCAGAGGGCATGTGTGTGCACTCACATGTGTTGATTAGTTCATTGGTTATAAAGCTTGTGTTCTCTGAGGATGAAAATGAAATAGGGCCTGGGAAGTGACCTTTTGCAGAGCTGTTTAGTGCCGGGGCCCACTGCTCAGCGTCCCTAAGATGAAAACAAGCCATTTGTTGACCAGCAGAGAAATGTGCTGTGGGCACATTTCTTTTTAATATTAAAATACCATCCACTGTCTCCCTTCACCCATGTTTCTGTTGCTTGTCACCCTGGGGGTGGGGGCGGGGGCGGCGGCAAACGTTGATTATGGCAATCGGTTCCCCCTTTCTTTCCCCACCTCCCCCTGCCCCTCCTGGTATCGCTACTCCCATTGCTGTTCCTGAGGGGCTTCTCTGTCCTGGTTCTGCGTTGAGAGCTCTCGTCTGTACCAGTGCACAGACTGTGAGACAGTCTTATTCTTCCTCTGAGTAGAGTACGGCATAAATGTGAAAGCAGCCAAGGTTGCAACAAAACCGTTTAAGCCAGCGGTTCTCAACCTCCTCATGCCGCGACCCTGTCATACAGTTCCTCATGTGGTGGTGACCCCCCAACCATAACATTATTTTCCTTGCTACTTCACCACTGCAATTTTGCTACCGTTATGAATCGGGCGACCCGTGTGAAAGGGTCATTTGACAACCCCCCCACCCCCCCCGGGGGTCACAACCCACAGGTTGAGAACCGCTGGTTTAAGCAGTCCTTTCTACTAAGTGCGAGTTTCTGGCTGTGCTTTTCTCTGCGCTTGGCATCTTCCCTCCTTAATCGGCCCTAAACGGTGGCAAGAGGGTCTCCAGCCAGACACATGGGGAAAGCACACCCTTTGGAAACAGGCCCACTTTGGACTGAATCCTGCCAGCATCGGCCCCTGGTTGCATGTTCTCTACAGAGGATAGAAGCAGCGGTGAGCAGGGTGTGAGATGAGCTTTGTGGGGTCGTATTAGAAGCTCCAGGGACTGGCCCTCGGTAAGCAGTGGTTATTATCACATCCTACCACTGTCCCCAGGCCCTGCCTGCCAAGTGAGGCTGGCAGTGAGAAGATGGGTGCTCAGGAGCAGGCATCAGGCATCAGAAGACTAACATCAAGCAATCATATGGATCCGAATGAGGCAGGGCGGAGTGGAGACCCAAAGGCCATCTGTGGACAATTGGACGTCCCTTCACAGAAGGTCACAGGAAGAGACAAGCCAGCCAGGGTGCAGAATAGCAACTTGACTCTAGTTCTTTAACGCCCCTCCCCTACCGTCATAACCCCAGTTCTACCTTACAAATCGGGCTAGACTGGAGCATGTGCACTGGTACAGACAAGAGCTTTCAATGCAGAATCCAGGACAGAGAAGCCCCTCAGGAACAGTAATGGGAGTAGCGATACCAGGAGGGGCAGGGGGAGGTAGGGAAAGAAAGGGGGAACTGATTGCCATAATCAACGTTTACCGCCGTCCCCCACCCCCACCCCCAGGGTGACAAGCAACAGAAACATGGGTGAAGGGAGACAGTGGATGGTATTTTAATACAGTGAACCCTCGCCACTTCGCGCTTCGACTTGCGCCGCTTCACTCTATTGCGGTTTTTGCATAACAGCACATGCTCTGTCATTACTGCCACTGATTGGCTCATACTGTACACGCTTGATGCCATAAATAATATAATAAATAATAAATGATAATTGTAACGTCCAAAATGTTTTACTGTATTTTCCCTTTTTCGTTTACTAAATTGGGTAATACGAGTGTAATGGTGACTAAAGGGTGTTTTTTCATGTCCTCTATGCTCTAACTACGAAAATATTTGATTTACAAATAAGGAATCCTACTTCGCGGAATTTCATTTATCACGGTAGGGTCTAGAACCGATTAACCACGATAAACGAGGGTTCACTGTATTAAAAAGAAAAAGATGATAGGTGTTCTGTGATATACACCCAAGGATCTATGGGAAAGATAAAGCACCCTGCTTTTGGGGCTTAGGACGGTACCATCAGGGCACACCTCCTGAAAACAATATTGTACATCCTACTTTAATGAGTAGGATCTGGGGTCTTCCAACCTTGTGGGTAGACAGTAAGCCACCTCTGCTTGTCGCTTTCTGTTGGGAGGCAAGAAGAGTGAAGGAAAGCAAGCATGTTCAAACAAACAATTAGCCCCAAAGACGATGGACCATACCAACTACAGGCTCCACCACCCTGAGACCAGAGGGACTAGCTGGTGCCCAGCTACCACAACCAATTACTCCCTTCAGGATCTCAGTGGAAGGTCCTAGACAAAAAGGGAGGGGGGAAATGTAGATCAGAAAAAGACCAGTCGCACTGGTCTAGGGGAGCCTGGTGAACCCGAGTCTATGACCCATGCACAGCCTTCAAACCTGGAGCTGAACCCTCTCCCAGGGATCGCCGTTCAGCCAGACCACGAGGTGGGTCTTCAATGAGAACAGTTGCACACACACACCCCGCCCCCCCGGAACGTGCTCCTCACGAGAGTCCAGGGAAGGTCACCAACAATAAAGTTCCACAAGGCAGGAAGCGGCAGAACTGGACCCCAGGAGGAGGTGGGAGGTGGAGGGGTCCACAACAAACGTCCGGAAACAGAAAGTATCTAAATCAATGGGTGGGAAACGAATTTGCTCTGTGAACTTTCACCAAACCACCGTCAAGCATCCGAAAGCAAAAGCAGTCTGCTTTCCTAGGGGTTCGTGGTTCGAAAGTACGTTCGAGAATCTGAGATTCCCAGACCAGCCGCGCCTGCAGCGTTGCAGGCAAAACAGCTTTTCGGCGCTTTTTCAGAATGGCCGTCAGAGAGTATTCGGTCAGCTGCTGACAGAAGAGTCCCCCTAAGAACTTTAGCAAAGATGTTGTGATCTCTTAGGAGGGAAGGTGCTATGCAAACAGGCCCCCTCTGCCTCCCACCCCAGCACCACCACCCCCATCCCCTGGGGAAAGGAATTGGGCCAGAATGGCTCTGTAAGGGAATTGAGCTCCAACAGTTATCCTACAGCCTTGATCTTCCGTGACCTTCCCGTTAGTCCTAAGCATGGTCCCCTTTCCTGTGCCCTCTGCTGACCCACCCAGGCATGGTACGTGGTCAGACAGGCCCAGCTGCATTCCTAAGCAAAGTCCTCCTGCCCCTCAAGTCCTCAGTCCCCTCCCCTAAGCTGTGTTTGTCATCCTTACTGATGTTTGCTTTTTCTTTCTGCCTTGTGGCAGCTTGTCTTGAGCCCTGGATGAACAGAGGATCCATCACGCTCTCTGGAGCCGACTCCAGGGCGGGCTGCGGGGTGCATGCAGGGCACGCTGGGTGATGCCCCAGTCTCAGGAAGATGGGCTTTGCCCTCTCAGCCCTGCCTGGGGGTTCCTGCTCAGGAGAAAACTGGGGGGTCTTGGTCCACCCCTCCTGGTTGTATTTTAACTCCAATGGAAGCCTTCAGTCCTCAGCTCTGTGGATTGGCACCCTATCTGTTTTGTTTCAACACAAGGACAGTTTAATAGAGGGGTTCCTGGTGGCATAGTGGATTATGGCCTGGGCTGCTCACCCCAAGTCAGCCGTTCAAACCCACCAGCCACCCCATGGGAGAAAGATGAAGTTTTCTGCGCCACGTAAAGATGCACAGCCTCAGAAACCCACAGGACAGTGACATTCTGTCCTCGGGGCCACTGTGACTGAGCATGGACTCGCGGGCAGGGAGTTGGTTTTGGTTTTTGTAGCTTATTGCCAAGTGTCCAAGAGCCTCCTACACACTGACTTTCTTGGTTCCCTCAGCCTTCCCTGGGAGTGACAAGCCTGATTCGTGTCCAAACGAATGTTTGTTGTGAAGCAGTGCTGAACTCAAGGTGGGAAGCCTTCATCTGCGAGATTCCAGAATGTAGATGATGACTGACCCTGAGGCTGGGTCAGCTCATGAGCAGGCTGAAGTCAGAGGAATTCCCTCCAGCCAGCCAGCCCGCCAAGGGCCACATGTTGGCCAACGACCCTTTTAGAGCACCCCTGAATCTTGGCTGAATCTTGGCTGGGCGGGGCTGAGGGTAGGGGTCTGAGGCGTTCTCCGGGGGCACGAGAGCCATGCACAGTGCTTGCACTGACGGAGTGCGCTTTCTCCTTCCAGCGTCCCAGTGCAACGTCAGCTTAAAGAAGCAGAGGAGTCGCAGCATCCTCAGCTCCTTCTTCTGCTGCTTCCGAGACTATCATGCAGAGGCCCCGCCGGCCAGCAGCCCCAGAGTGCTGCCACCGCTGGTGGAGGAGAATGGCGGGCTCCAGAAGGTCAGTGCGTTGGGAGCTGGGCACACAGCGGAAACGCAGGAGCAGGAGGGCAGCCTCAGTCTTGACCGACATCCATCGTGAGCATCTACCCCAGTGAGCGCGCAGCCATTTGCTGAAGGATTTGAAACGGCCTCAGAAAGTGTGCTCCCTTCTGAGGAAGGCTGTCCGGTCATTTCCATTTGGGAATTAAATGGCACATTGAATATTTCATGTGCATTATAAAAGGCACTTTAGGACAAAAAAGAGGGCCTTTGATACACTTTATATGCACATTAAAGATTTTGGACACAATTCCATTATGAAATGATCCTGTAGTGAATCAAAAAAATGTTTTTAAGTCACTTTGCATTTTTATAATGTTCTCTCTTGAAAAGTTGACTGCATGAAAGAGAGCGTTAAACAAGCTGCTATCAGACCTTAAAAACATGAAAGAGTTAAAAGATCCAGTAGCAGACCTTAAAAGCTATTTGCTGACCCAAGCAGTATGCCGTATGGACATAATTCTGGCCATGCAAAGATTTAAAGATATCATCTGGCATAGATTACAGTATGGAAAGAAACTTGATGTTTAACCAGAGGCAGCTGGTTAAAAGAATTCTATAGGATAGCCGTGCAATAGTGTGCAGCCACACAGATGGTCTTCCAAGGTGTCTGTGACACAGAGCATTGTTCACACTATGTCATTGGGTTTGGTGGGGGGGGGGAGTTAAAATATATTTAGACCCCCCCACACAAGCATTTCTATAAAAGGACCCAAATATGAGGCAATCTCTCTGAGGGATGGCCTCGTGTACAGGATTTTCCGCTCTGTATATCTTTTTACCTTAACTTATTTTGTGATCAGAAAGTGAACAGATTTATGTTTAAAGTACATGTGGATCTGAGGAAGGGAATTCTGGGAAGATTACAGCTTGAGCACATGGCTCTGATTATTGAAACGCCTTTTCTGTGTAAGCCCAGGTAGACCTGCTGGTGGAGCCTGGAAAGTGCATTAAGGCTTCCTGCTCAACAGGAGAGAAAGCTGGCATGGGACTCACCTGAACACAGGGGACAGCAACAGGAGAACACAGTGTGTCTCCTGGAACCCTCCAAAGAAAGCTTGACCGGCAGGTCCCATGAGACAAACCAGGCAGCTGACACCTGTCACCCCTTGGGAAGGTCATGTACTGCCCACTTGGTGTGTGTGGTCCATGGAGGGTCTGTCTGATCCTATAGACCCTAAAGGACCTGAATGGGCTGCAGTGGTGAGCGGAACTGCTTTCAGGTCTTGTGGACAGCTTGGTACTGTCCCTGGAGAAGCCTGGTAGCCAATGCTTTCTTCAGCTGTCTCTCGTTGTCACGTTGGGCCCTGAGGGACCGTACAAGCAGCATCCTCCCTAGGCCTTGCCATACTTCCTGCTTTGCCACTGCTGGTCTGAACCACACAGGTGCTGAAGGAACACACAACCTTGAGCAAGCAAAGAAAAATGGAGACTCAGTAGCTGAGCAGGCCCCAGTTGAAAACAATGAGAAAGTGAGACACCTACTGAGGTAAAGGAAGAGGTAGAAGAAAACTGTAACAGAAAATGAATTTAGAGCATAAAATGAACTCTTAGAGCTTCAAAGGTTTAAATATGAAAATTCCGCAAACTAAGGAAAGCGGGAATGAGAATGGTCATTGCTGAAAGGTGAATTAATGTTCTGGAAAAGCAAGTGGAAGAAATAGCTCACAAACGAACCAGGAACACAGAAGTAGTAATTATGGGGGAGGCCAGAAGGCTTAACATGTGAACAATAGGAGTTCCAGAAAGAAGAAAATGTCCGTAATGTGAAAAAGAATGTGCATCTAGTTTTAAAAACATTTCCAAAATTGATGGCAGGGTTCATGTGGAAGAGTGTACAAGAGCACACGCTGTTGACAGTCTGAAATGTAAAGATAGAGAAGCTACCAGAACAAGCTACTGAAAGAAGAAGAATTATACTAGCAAGCAAATGCCTCAACTACAACGAAAGCCAGAAAGCTATGAAACAAAATGTACTGAGGTTATTGAGGGGGGAAAACCGCGAACTAAAAATGATGTGGCATGAAAAACTAATGATTATATCACCATTATATCATTTATCGTTGAAGACCCAAGACTTACATTTTCAGACATGTAATGATCTAGAGAAGGAAAAGGTATCTGAGTGATATTAGTATTTAGTTATGATGTACAGAAAACATAAGGGTAAACATAAGTATTAGGAGTAGAACCGTAAATAGTAGCTGGTAGATCTTCATAATTCACAGAGGAAGAAAGGAAGAATAAACAGAAATGTGAACATGCCATCAAAATTCCAGAAAGGGGAAAAGAACAAATAAAAAAATAAATAATAAGTACAATATAAGGACCAAAAAATGAAAGTAAAACAGCCCAATCCCACTGTCATCAAGTTGATTCTGACTCACAGGGACGCTACATATGTCTTCTGAGGCTGTGAGTCTTTATAAGACTTGGCCGCCTCATCTGTCTCCCTCAGAGCAGCTGGTAGACTTGAACCTTGCACCTTGTGATTAGAAGTCCGGTGCTTACCTGCCACCGCCACTAGGGCTCCAGAAAAAGAGTGAGTATAAAATAAGTTTGGTGAACATAATTCTCCTCAGAGTCTGAGACAATCAGATCGACTGGACATATCTGCATGCCATTTCCAAGAATATGCCGACATCAGATAGGAATGGTTTGGCAGCAGGTAAAAGAAAACCGATGTACAGTCGTCTCCACAAACAGTGGGTTGTTTTTCTCGCCGACAAGCTTGAGTCATGCCATTGCTATGGTTGGGGAGAGAGCTGCTGATACCCTCAAGGACTGGCAGAATTTTCACCAAGGTTGTAGCCACGTTGAAGAAAGAGGCAAATGAAATGAATTTAATAACGTGCTCATTTCCAATAGGGGAAAAGCATTAATGAGTGAGTCTGCATTCTGTTTTTTAATCATACTAACTCTTAGCATATCTTAATTTGAAACTATCCGTGATGCATGTCACCAGCTGCCCCTGACTAGCAAGTTTGGTAAGGAACAGCAGGCCCGTTACCTTCTAGTCAGCTCCAGCTTGTGGTGACTCTGGAGGGCAGAGTAGACCTGCCCCCAGGGGATTTCCAAGGCTGTACAGCTTTCTGGCCCCAGAGCGGAGGGTGGTTTTGAACTGCTGACCTTTCAGTTAGCAGCTGAGCCCTTTCCCACTGCGCCACCAGGGAGCCTTTGACCAGCCAAACGCTATGTTCCTCTTTGTGGACCAACCCAGAGAAGTCATTATCTCGTTGCTTCTCTGCTATGTCACAGCAGGAAAAGGGGAATGTGGAGAATTACTTACTGGCTCTGCAAGTTTTTAACCCAGAGGGAACATGTCTCACTTCAACATAGAGATGACTGGATGTCACAAATCACATGACTATATCTAACCCCAAGGGACATGAAAGTCTAATCCTACCACGTGCTCGACGAGAACCCTGGGTGATTTGGTGAACAAGCAATCACTATGGCCCATAAAGATCCATTGCTGTCTAGTTGAGTGTGACTTGTGGTGGTCCTGCGGGGCAGAGTAGAACTGGGTCATCAGAGTAGAACTGGCCCATTGGGTTTCCAAGGCTTTTGTTACAGGAAGCAGACTGCCTCCACTTCTTCCCATGGAACCGTGGTTTCCATCCACGGCCAAGTGCTTTAACTACTGCATCACTAGGGCCCCTTCTGACTCCCGGCGTAAGTTCCTGCCACGAAACAAAACAGAATGGAACCGTGACAAAGAAAGATGAAAGGTCAAAAGTTGGGCAAAATTGTTCAAGGAACATTAGACACAAGGGAAGCAAGACAGGCAATGTTACTATCAGACAAAGCGGATGCAAAGCCAACAGCATCTCTAGGGAAAAGAGGGACCATCTACGTAGGGATCCGCAGGATACTGCGTGGAGCTGTGTGATCATCATAAACCCTCCAATCCCCATCAACAAGGCAGCCGAGTGCAGACAAGAAAGCGGTTCACATAGGGAATGCAGCTTTCCCACCGTACACCACGCACGGCCTAAGAAGAGCGTGTGCGGTAAGTTCTGACTAATGTATCCAACGAGGCAGCGAAATCATTGATGTAAGCAGAGAAAGATAAAACCCTAGACTGACTTACAGACGGAAGGTTGTTCCCATAAAAAATTCAAAAGACTCCACAAAAGTCATCGTGAGACTCATGGAAAGGTTTCCTTTGTAACGATGGGATGTGGTCTCTGGGTGGGAGGACTGAACAACGCTTACATGGACGAAAACCGTCTGAGAGAATGGGGTGGTGGTAATCATGAAAGACAACTGGCCTGGTGGGATAGCAAGCCTCAGTGTACATTGATGAGGATCTCTGGTGGGACAGTGGTTAACCACGAGGCCGCTAGGCAAAAGGTCAGAAGTTCAAACCCACCAGACCCTGTGCAGGAGGAAGAGGAGGCGATATGAGCCTGGTTGTGGGGGAGGGATGCCTGAGAGGCAGAGGGGGCCCGGTGCCCTGGTGTGGACAGTCGGGCTCCTCCTTCAGGCACTGTTCAGTGGGCAGGGGGTGGGGAAGCAGATGGCCGCTCGACTCAAGAATGCTCTGATCGTTCTTGTGAGAATAGCAACTACTTTTCAATCCTGACAATGATTTTTTTTTTTCTTTTTTCCTCAGGGTGGCCAGAGGCAGGTCATTCCCATACCAAGTGTATGTATACATTTATCCAATTTTATTTAACCCTTCATAGGAATTGGCAGCAGGGAGCCTACGGGCCTGAAAGAGCAAAGGAGAAACGTTCTTGCTTATGTTGAGTTTGGGCATGTGGTACAAACAGCTACATTGTAAGCTGTGAGCTGGAAGTTCTGGACCTGACCATGGTTTCTGTTCTCCGGACCAGCAGGGCCTCAGCATCTAGTACCCAAGGCCTCCCCTCTCCTATGTCTCTGTGAAAGGGCCTCACATCTCACTCAGCCCAGGTAGCTTGCAACAGAGGGCAGGGAGAGCCTACATGCATGCAGACACGGGTCTTGGCCACAGGTTCTGCCCTGTTGGACCTAGACTCCCCAAGCCCAGGGCCCAGGTGACCAGAACCATTTCTGACTTGGGCAACACTGTCGGCAGCTTGGTCGTGGCTCTGAGAGCAGAGGGTTTGCAGCACCTACCCCTTGCCCCCACCCCTATCCTCGCCCCTGCAGTTCAGCCCCTGCCAACCGCTCCCTTGAACCTCACACGACTGTGTTTTTCAGGGGTAGGGGAAGGGGCTGCCAAGTTACACCCCCCTCCTCCCAGCATGTCCCTGGGCCATGACTCAGCCATCCCTGGTGCTTCTGCTGGCCCCCAAGCAAGCAGGGTCAACGGGGCCAGCCCTCCAGGGCCCAGGTAGCTGGAAGGCAAGCTTTTGGAAACTCGCTGTTCACCACTTGGGTTATCCCGAGCAAACCAGACCTTTCCAACAGCAGCCCTTTGTCCTTGGAGAATGGAGGGCACTGAGGGCAGATCTTCTCGTCTGTAAAGATGACCTGGTTCAAAGCTGCCAATCCAGCTTCCCATGGACCTCTTTTTGGCCTCCAGTATTTTCTGGGAACATCCAAGTCTTAACACTTAATACTTAACCTCAGTCTTAACACTGAAAGCAGTGGATTTTGATAGCCGGCTCCACAAATCGTGCTAGTGGATGTCATGGCTAAACTGCCCCCAAAGTTTTTAATCATCCCATTTTTCTCAGAAGGTTAGCCCTCCATTGACTCACACATTCCAAGAGTGCCTGGAGTCAATCTGACATTCCCAGCACAGCTGGCGTTGGGACTTTCTTGGGAAAGCAGGCTTTGAGCAAAGGTCCAGGTGAAGCAGTACAGTCTGCCGCCCAGTGTTGGAGAGAGGCACGCCAAGGAGTTAACCTTGATACAAAGGAGTTTCCTATGGCATTGTCCCTGCCATGCTGCTGCCAACCTTCAACAGGTCAGCTGGTAGGGAGACCCCTCACCCCCAACACCAGTCAGGTTGTACTGTGTGGTTTTTCCTCAGCGTTAATTCACGGTCTTCTGTAAAGTGAAGTTCCCAATCGGCGTTTGCCAGTCCGGGTGAAAACACCGATAAGACAACTGACCCCCTTTCCACAGATGTAGACGCAGCAGCGTGTGGAAGTCCAGAATAAAATCGCCAAGGGAAAGAAAGACGGCTCCTTGTGTAATCAGGCCGGTGTTCGATCCGTGACCTGCTGGCTGCCTCTCGCGTGTGAGACACAGTCTCAGATCTGATGATTTCCTGCAACATATTGCAGGAACACAGCCCTGCTAGAGGAACTTGCATCTGAAAGGATAACTTCTAGAAGGCTCCCACTGCCATCGAGTCAGTGCTGGCTCATAGCGACCCCGTGAGGGTTTCCGGGACTGTGACTGTTTACAGGAGTAGAAAGCCCCGTCTTTCTCCTTTGGAGCTGCTGGGGGTTTGAACTGCAAACCATGAGGATCGCAGCCCCCTAGACCACCAGGGCTCCATTCTAGAAAGGCAGCTCCATTAATGAATGCGGGGTGAGCTCTACTTTCTGAGTGGTATACAGGACTGACCCCCAAGTCTACCTGAGGGCCAGCTCAGCCCTGGGACTCAGACCTTGGGAGACCCTGCCAGATCTGGTCCCTGGTCACATAAGCAGAGTGGCCGTGACCTTTCTGGACAGTTGGGGTGTGTGGTCAGTGCTGCAGCCCCTGAGAGCTCAGGGTGCTATCCCAGGGCCAGACATCTAGCTGTCCTTAGATCGACATGCAAGACATGTACACAAGCATAGTTACACAAATGAGATTGCATTGTACCCACCAGTCTGCAGATTGCTTTTTGCTTTCAATCAAACCTCTTCCCAAATATTAGTACCTTCAGCTCTTCCTCATTTGCTTGGTGGTGAGGGCACCTACCTGGTTTCCACTGAGGTGCAATGACAAATACTTCTGTTACAAATCTCCCTGTAACTGTGTGTGCTTGTAAGTGATATTAGTTACTAATCATAGAAGTGCCAGCTGAACGGATATAGTTTATAATTTTGATAGTGTTAAGCCAAATTGCCCTCCCAAAGCCTAGGCTGGTATTTGAGATCGCCCCATTCTTAAATGGATACTGTTATTGTCAAAAAGCTTTCATCGCTGCTCATCCGATAGAAAGGGGTGCTATCGACTTGCTTTGATCCCCATTGCTTTAGGCACTGGGAATATGAACATCTCTTCAAAAGTTAATTGGTGACATGTCCTGTCACCTGCACCATTTAGGTGTTTTATGTTACTTTTTCATCTCAAAGAAATGAGCACTTTTTCTCAAATTGATGCACCGTCTGTTGGCTGTGTGTGATCCCTTTGGCCACAGATTCGTTTGAGGTCAGGAGAGCCGGAGGTGTCCTCTCATTCTTGAGGCACCTGGATGTTCAGTCACTCTTGGAAAGCTCTCTCAGTCAATTGCGATGAGTCAGCATCAGAATGAACTCCACGGGCGACGGTCTGGGTTTGGTTTTTCACTCCGTGACTGTGAGCTGTGTTCTTCTAGGGTTTTAGTAGTTCAATGACAAACTACTCTCCTTGCCATCGAGTCAATTCCAACTCATAGGGCAGAGTAGAACGCCCGGTGGGTGCCCAAGGTTGTGCTCTTTATGGAAGAAGCAGACTGCCACTTCTTTCTCCTGTGGATCGGGAGATGTGCAAAAATTCTTGGGTCTGTGTCTTGCATGTGATCTTGCTGGTGGGTTTGAATCACTGACCTTTCAGTTGGCAGAGGACTGCTTAACTGTTATAGTTTGGGTGTATGTCACCACGTGGCGATCCAGCCGTACTTCTTTCCCCCAAAGACTGCTCAGCTACCCCCGCCCCATGCATGTCTTCCACACCACACCGACCGGACCCAGCCTTTTTATTTGGAGCTGGGGATTTGGGGCCCTCCATACATCTTGCTAGGAAGCTTCCCCGTGAGCTGTTTGATACAGTCAACTAAGACACAGAAGGATAGAAGGAGTATCAGCCACTGATGTTTGGCAGTCGTGGCTTGAGGGGAGCTCTCAAGTACGTTGGCCCCAGTGAGGTTACTGGGACCAGCCCTGGGTCCTACCTCTCCCACACTCTTGCTTGTAAACACAAGGCCAGGCTGGTCACTGAACCTTAAAGATGCTTAAAGGGAGGGACGGAATGTGTTTACTAGCAGTATGCATCCGAGCTCTTTGCCTAAGGCTTTCATAAGCACTCATGCATTTGTGACCGCCAAGACCTTCCAAAGGATGGATCAGGTGAACGACTGCTCTGGTTCAAGCTGGTCTGGCGTTGTCTCCTGCCTGTCTTCCGGAGAGCTCTACCCTGAATGCTGGGGCTATGGGGATGCCGAAGTAGGCTGAGGGGAACACACTGCTCTAGTGTCCCAGAAAGAGATCACTCACTGCCATGGAGGCACTTCTGACTCATAGCGACCCTATAGGGCAGAATGGAACTGCCCATGGGTAGAAGGACTCCCCAGAGAGAGAGAGAGTCAGCCTATAATATCTGTGAGAGTGTGTGAGCTAGGTCGAAGCCCTGGTGGCATGCTGGTTACATGTTGGGCTGCAATCCACAAGGTTGGCAGTTCGAAACCACTAGCCACTTCCTTGGGAGGAAAACAGGGCTCTGTACTCCTGTAGTGAGTTGCCTTATTGGAAACTCACAGAGAGGGTGAGTGGACCCTGTCCTATAGGGTCACTGTGAGTCGGCCTGGACTCGCTATGGTGGGGAGTGTGTTTTTCCCTTTGGTTTTGTGGGGTAGGTAGGTACAGGGCACATCAAGCCCATTCCAACTCCTAGCGACCCCGAGTGACTGAATCGGACTGCCCCCTCGGGTTTTTCTGGGCTGTGCTCTTTATGGGACAGACTGCTAGCTCTGTCTCCCACACCGCCACTGGATGGTGGACTTGAACCGCCAGCTTTTCAGTGAGCAGCTGAGTCCTGACCTGTTGGCCCAGCAGGTCTCCTTGGAAATAACCCTGTAACTTATTAATCATGGTGGCAAGTTCACTACCAGGGATGACATTTCAGATTTACTCCCAGAAAAGGGACTGGAATAACCACCCTTCCCAAGCTTTGGATGGAAAAGGCATGGCCCGACTTCCCACCCCCACCCTGCCCCTCACCCTCCTAGCAACACCCTTAGGAGCCCACAGATTTGTATGGACAAGGCCCTGCCCTCTGTAGTCAGTGCTTCTCTTGCTCTTGGGCATGATGATGATGGCAGCAGCGTCCTGGGAGAGAACTTGCTCAAGAACTTCTCTTAGTTAAGGTTTATTCTAGCACCACCCAGACAGATCCATTGAGATAGCAAAGTGCCATTGCAATCCTATACACCAGAGGTTCTCAACCTTCCTCATGCCGCAGCCCTTTCATACAGTCCCTCAGGTTGTGGTGACCACCACCACCCCCCAACCATAAAATTATTTTCGTTGCTACTTCATAACTGTCGTTTTGCTGCTCTTATGAATCTGGCGACCCCTGTGAAAGGGTCATTCGACCCCCAAAGGGGTCGCGACCCACAGGTTGAGAACTGTTGCGATAGACCGTCCTTGTGTGCACCAAAGACCAGGCTGTCCAGAAGAACCCCAACAAGTGGACTGAAGCATCTGTGTCCATTGGATGCCCAGCTTGCTGGGAAGCTGTGTGCATTTAGGGATGGATGCTCACTGCCCTCTGAGTCTGCTCCCCGCCCGCTCCCTGGTCTCACTCTCTGCAGCACAAACACTAAATCAAGAGCTTGCTTAATGAGTCTCACCCTTCTCTCTCTTTTCCCTCCGAACAGCCAACAGCGCAGTGAGCCTTTTTAAAGTTAACAGTTAGCTCAGGAAGAGCTTGTAAAGTGGGGGGTTAAAAAGCGCAAAGAAATTCCTCGGGTTTGGAAAATAACTGAGCCGCTTTGGGCAGATCTTTGATGTTTTCAGATACGCGAGGGATAGGTTTTCTAGATGCTTGTTTTCCAGCCTAGCAATTACGTACAGTTAAAATGCTGTTTTAGAAGCAGATAATCGCACCGGGGGAGGGACGGCCAGATACAAGCCGATGAAAGGGAGGTGAGGCGTCTGGGGAGAGGCGAGGTGGGACATAGAAAAAAGAATCTGCATTTTTACAATGACATGCCTATGTTCTTTGCAATATGAGTGTGTGTCTATTATATAATTGCATAATAGAAATTTTAATTAAAGCCAGTTTTATTTTGGTTGTAAGCATGCGGCCTGCTTTATAGCCCAACACAGACTTAGCCCCAATCCCCTCGGATCACACCCTGCCTTTTTTAAAAGATCATCATGCCCTGCCTGCCTTGTTAAAACCTTTTCTAATACAAACCATCTCCTTGTGAGTTTATGTTAAGATTTTGAGTTTTAAAAATCTGTGGCCTCATTACTTATAAAGAAGGCCTGAGCCTTCTCTGGGACCCCAAATGCCATGCCCCTTATATAAGAAACATGTCACCCTGGTTGCACGGTGGTTAAAGTACCAGCAGTGCACATACCCTGGCTGCTTCATAGGAGAAAGATGGGGCAGTCTGCTTCCATAAGGATTTACAGCGTTAGAAACGCTATGAGACAGTTGTACTTTGTCCTGCAGGGTCGCTATGCGTCGGAATCAACTCCATATGGTGGATTTGATGTTCCTTAGTATCTAAGAAGCACCCTTTGCCAGTGCCACAGAGTCGGGGGGACTTAATGGTGACTTTTAATTAACTCTAAGTGGCACTGAAGAGCCCTGGGGGTACGTGTTGGATTCCCTCAAGATACCCTCAAGCTCAATGGTTCAAACCTACTATGCACTCCGTTAGGGAACGATGAGGCTATCTGTTCCCATAGAGTTTTGTAGCCTCAGAAACTCTATCTAGGATTGAAGGGCTCTACAGGCTTATTCTTCTGGATGATTCTAGAAGGTAGTGTGTTAGTCCAGGTAGACTAGGGAAAAAAATTCATAGACACTCATGTGTATAAGAAAGAGCTGTATATAAAAGAGCAAGAGTATATTGAGAAGCCCAGTCCAGATCAAGTCCATACGTCTGATATTAGCTCATATGTCTGATACCAGTCTGTAAAGTCCTCTTAAGACCCATGCAACACATGCAATGATGCTGAGTGTAGGAAGATCACAAGCCAGTGGGTGGAAAGTCTTGTGTATCCAGTGTCTGTGGAAGCATCTCAGCACTGGCGTGGGGTTCCACATGGCTTCTCCAGCTCCAAAGCTCTGGCTGCCATCAGTGGAGAACTCCATGTGGCTTCTCAACAGGATTGTTTCCCAGGGAGACAAAGCAGAGAGTGTATGTGTCCCACCTCCAGTGTAACACCTCCAAATGAGGTCATCAAGCATCGAACTGATTGACAGGCTGAACTCCACCCCTTCACTCTTTTTTAAAAAAATTATTTTATTATGGGCTCATAGAACTCATCACAATCCTTACATACATCAATTGTGTCAAGCACACCTGTACACATGCTGCCATCATCATTCTCAAAACACCTTTCTACTTGAGCCCTTGGTATCCACCCCTTCACTCTTAATAGTCTCAAATTGATACCAGATTATGTAATTACCACAGGTAGAGACCCCAGATTTGTTAGCGAAAGCCCCTCTGGAGTCCAGATGGCATGTCCCCACAGGTAGCTGCTTCCCAGCTGGTCCCTGCACTCCCTCCCTGGCCAAGATGACCATTGTACTTGCAAATTTACTTAACCTGTTGTCTACGAAGGTTATATCCATTGTTGAACCAACTAAAGTCCAAAATTAACTTTTAAGATCCTGGGCTCATGTTAAGCAAACAGGCAGACACACAGCAAAGAAAAATCTGCTCACCAGGGAATGCCTCTGGATGTCATTGTGTCTTAAATCCATTGATAACCGAAACTGGCCATTCCCCAGGGACTGGGGAGAGGGGTTTTCTGGTGCTGTGTTTCACAGCACATCTGGAACAGAGCGTGATCTTCTCACCGGATAGGAAAATAGCCAGTTCCCATTGGACCGTGAACAGGCCACAAACCACACTAAACTACTTCAGGTCACCTCTAGAATGAGGCAAGAGGGAGGTTGGCTGAAGATCGCTAGCATTTTGTTAGCATTCTGTGCCCTTTTTATCTCAAGATTAGTGTGAGCTACTAAGAAACATCCAAGTCGGTTTTTGGGGGGCTAGCACACTCCTTATGGACTAACGTAGAGTGCAAGCGCTGCATTTGCTCAGCAGTGGACCCCACTGCCCAAGTGGGGCCCAAGGAAGGAGCCTGGTGACAAGGAGATGGAGCGCTCCTGCGGCTAACCCAAAGGCCAGTAGTCTCACCCCCAACCCCCCCCCCCGCCGCCCCCCCCCGCAAAAAACGGCAAGCCCAAAACACAACCCCCCCCAAGGGCAAGGCCTCCCCCCAAGAAGGGCCCGCTGTGAGTCAGAACCGACGCCTGGCACTCCATTGGGTTGTGGTTTGGGATGCAAGGCAGCACTTACCTGAGGCCGTGCCCGCTGTTCTGCCATCAGGGACCGCTTTAGCTTGTTGGTGGGTCTGTAGCATCTCTTCATTTTTTAAAAGATGTCAGTCACTAATTTAAAAAAACAAAACTGTGGCTGAAATGTGCTTATATGCCACAATGAATTTCGGGCAATTCATGACACCAGAAAATGGGCCTGCCCTAGGTAGCATAGCCGTTACTGTTAAACACTCATTCTTCTGTCATTCACTTCAGTAAGGACCATAAACCCCAAACCAAACCCACTGCCATCAAGTGTGTTCCCACTCTTGATGTCCTGGAAGACCGAGTAGGACTGTGGCAGAGGGTTTCCAAGGTGATAACTCTTCAGGGAAGCAGACTGCCTCACCTGTCTCCCTCAGAGCAGCTGTTGGGTTTGAGCCAGCAGCCTTGTGGTTAGCCGTTCATCACTTAGCCCACTGCACCCCCGAGGACTCCAGTAATGAAATACTTACCCACTGTAGTACAGTGGTTATGCATGGGGCTGCGATCCGCACAGTCGGCAGTTCAAAACCAGCGGCATCTCCCCAGGAGACTGGGCTTTCTACTCCGTAAGCAGTTAAAGTCCCGGAAGCCACAGCGGGGGCTCTGAGTCAGCACTGAGTTTGGTTATTTGGCCATTCCGTTGATTCCAACTCATACTGACCCTACATAAGGTCTCTGAGGCTGTAAATCTTTACGAGCGCAAACAGCCTCATCGTTCTCCCTTGGAGCAGCTGATGGATCTGAACCGCCAACCTTGTGGTTAGCAAGCCAATCAGTGCTTACCCGACAGCGTCACCAGGGAACTCCTTAGTAATAACAATGGTCACCAAGTATGTCCTAGGAAAAAGGCTGGGTGCTTTGCCTTTATTGAAATTGCTAATAGCAGCCTCTCGTAGACATTGCTATCTCGAGGCCACACAAGTGACCGCACTGATCTTCAAACCCAGGTTTGCCTGGTTCCTGGCCCGGGGCCCTCCTATCAACCATGCATTGTAACACTTGAGGGTGCTGCAAGCCAGTTAGTCCGATGGTTCCGAACTTGGCCGGCCTCATTAACGTAGTCTCATACCAGGACAGTGACAGGGTCACGGTTGGTCTTTTACATAGAGGTAATGGTGTGTTTTTTGTTTTCCTTTTAGCCACCAGCTAAATACCTCCTCCCCGAGGTGACGGTGCTTGACTACGGAAAGAAATGTGTGGTCATTGACTTAGATGAGACCTTGGTGCACAGTTCCTTTAAGGTAAATCAACGTTCCAAAAAAATAAAAACGTCTCTGTGATCTTTGAGATGTGGTCCCCGTTGTATGAGGCGGTGGAGGAAATGTGAAAATTAGAAAGGAGGAAAGCTTGCGGTTATTAGTCTATCACACTGTCCATTAAGGAATTCCAATAACAGTTGCTTATTAGCTCAGGTGAACATTAACTGTAGTCATTGAGTGTTGACACAATTAGTTTGGAGACAGGGTGTTGCGGGTTGCTGCCAATGGACTGCGACCTCCTGGTGACCTAGCGGCAGACTGGGGGTTGTCAACACTCTCACCCCTGGAAAAGGACTTTTCAGGTGCCACAAGGCAATCAGGGCCCTGGGGCACGGCTGTGCCCTTGGCAAGGTACCCCCAGGCTGTGTGGTTTCTTGGGAGGGGCAAAGGGAAAGCAGGGCTTGAAGCTGTCAGGCAGCCTGCTTTCGCTCCTGGACATGTTCCCAGACCACGTTTTAAGGATGTCCAACTCTGAAGAAGGCTTCCAGCGTTATGGCATCGGAACAGCTGTGGCCATCACCTGTCACTGCTTTCATTAAGGAGGTGGCTCGAGGGGTCTTTTCTTGGCCCTGTGGTTGGATGAGTAGCCACTTGGATGATCCCTCACGCACGGTGGGAGTGCCATGGTGGTCAGAGCAGGCAGTCTTCCGTCTCCCCGCCAGAGTGAGCAGTGACCGGATGGAATCCATGGTTCCCGCTGGGACCACACTGTTTTGAAGAGAGTTCATTAGCTATCTTTCCATTTCTTGAAACAGATTACTTCCGAGAGACAAATGATTGGAGTGGGGGTGGTGGTTGGAAATGGGGCACTGGCACATTTGGGAGAAGAAGCATGTGATTGGGGTTGGACCCTTGGGTTCTTTCTGACAGTGGGACTCGGCCACTAGTACCTGGCCAGTTACACCAGCACATTATCATTCTGAGCCCAGTCAGATGTCCTTTCCTCTGTCGAGAGGTATGAGCAGGACACGGTCCGTGAGAGGGTCTGGGCTTCCCATCAGTGGCAATCGTTCCCTGCTGGCTGTTCGGGTCCTTCCAGGGATGGTCCCTATGCAGTGCAGCAGTGCCCCATGCCCCAGCTCAGCTCTGCTCAGCCCTGGGGACCGCTTCTCCCCTGGAGACAAATTGCACAGGGCTTTTACGAGTGCCCCCCACCCCACAGCCTCTTCCCTGGGGGAACATCCTTCAAAACCAGGCACAGTTGGCATCAGAGCATAAAAGAGCATCCTCCCAAGTTGCTTTGGGAGTGCAAGCAACACTGGCCAGACAGCCCAGGGTGACGGGTGGGTGGGGGGCTCCCCGGCTCCTGAGACAGAGTGTTGGTGTCTCTGAGGCCTGCTCAGAGGGCCTGGATGCAGCACGCTGAGGAGAACACCATCCCCCGATTCCACCTCTCCCCCTTGCCTGCCTACCTTTGCAGGCAGGATAGTCTTTGTTGTGCGAATTTTAATGCTCTGAGGATTTTGGAGGTGGGGGTGGGGAGGGGGCCCTGAGAACCTCTGCCCCGTGAAAATGCACACATAGTTGTATTGCTGGTAGGGGGGCGGGGGGGGGGGGCAAGGGAAAACCTCTGGGTATGTATAACTGCCCTTGCAGCAGCGTGGGAGAGGAGGCCGAGGGCCAGGTATGCGCTTGGGACCGGGAATGACTTTTCCCTTTCATCTTCTCTATGGAATCAGATTCCACGATCAAATGCCTCATGAGAGTTCCTCCCTTTGGTTTTTTGTTTTTTTTTTGGTAGTTATGACTGCTTTTCTTTAAAAATCACACGCATCAAACATATAGTTGAATAAAATGCTCATACTTCCCTAAGTGTAAACATGTATTCTTAGACCCTGCCTAAGACAATATGCACATGAGGAAGTCTGAAAATGTGGGTCCCTTTTCTCACCCCGACAGACAAGGTCATGAAATCTTGGCTTCCTCCACAGTCCCAGCATGCTCCCTCTCTCACAGAAGCATGCCTAATATATTCCTCTCAATACAAAGTTATTGATTGCCTATGATTAATCAACCATCTTTTAAAAAGTCCTTCAAACACTCCTTTGGTTTCTTAGCATGCTTCAGTAGTTTAGTGGTGACGTCATGAGAGATTAAGCTCCCTTGGCCTCCCAGCCCCGGGAGTCGGTTCGCTATGGTGGCAAGGCCGCTAGGGCCCAACAGCATCCACGGAGTTTCAGGTGGCAAAGGAGGGTGCTTGTGTGGGCAGTGCTGAGCAGACCCCAGCTCAGAGTCTGACCAGAAACTTCCTGACAGAGCACCGCCGTACCCCAGCCCCATGGCCGCACCATCCATCCTCCCAGGAGCCCCAAGAAGTGCTGCAGCACTTGGAATCACTGTGGGATCCCACTCACTAGAGCAAGGGAAGAGAGAACCTTCAGCCTACAGAGCAGAAAACCTGTCTGAGCTTGTGGCCTGTAGCTTCAGACTTCATCCCATATGTCTTGGCAGTGTGGGCAGGGCAGCTCGCTCTGTGTGTCTCAACTACACATTGTTTCCCACAAGGAGTGGGTCAGACACTAGGCTGCTACCCAAAAGGGCAACAATTCACACCCACCAGTTGGTCCTCAGAAGAACGTGGAGTCTGCTTCTGGAAAAATTCCAGCCACAGACCCCCTGTGAGCCAGTTCGACCCTGCTTTACCTGGTTGCTCTGAGTTGAAATTGACTCCACAGCGGAGGATTGGCTTGGCTTGGACTGGTTGTCAGGAGAGACCAGTCCCTGGAGGAGGACATCATGCTTGGTCAAGTGGAGGGGGCAGCAAAAGAGAGGAAGGCCCTGGACGAGATGGATCGACACAGTGGCTGCAACAATAGGCTCAGGCATAGGGACAATGGATGGCGCAGGACCAGCCAATGCTTCCTGCTGCTGTGTGTAGGTAGTGTTGCTATGACTCAGGTTGACCCCACAGCATCTGACAGCGTGGGCTCTCACCTCTGCCCCCTAGTGGCCAGCGGCAGTTGCTATCTTCCTGGCCAGTTGAAACTGGACTTCACGAGGCGCTCCATCCTGGAAGGAGCAAAGGAGGCGACAAAGACTTTGGACCACGATGCTGAAAATAGAACGCGGTTCAGATAACATGTCTTCTTGCTTCTACCTATTTTAAGGCGTCAAAGCCTACGCCAACATTCTTCTTCTGAACCGTTTATTTCCATAATCAAAACACCGATCAAGACAAGGCTTTTTCTTGCTAAAATTTCCAATTTTATTTGGTTCTTTCAGACCTATTAATTACCGTTTCTTTTCTCTCTAGCCGATTAGTAATGCCGATTTTATTGTTCCGGTTGAAATTGATGGAACTATACACCAGGTAAGAAATTCAGAGCCCTGTCTGAGCTTCAGCTAGCAGTCTTTAATAACTACATTCCCCTGGAACTGTCTCATTAAGGTCCCACATCAGGAATAACTCTATTGCTGAAGAAGCCCTGGGGGCAGTGGATGACGAGTTGGACGGCCAACCACAAGGTCGAACCCACCAGTCACTCTGAGGGAGAAAGATGAGACCTTCTTCTCCCACACAGAGTCACAGTTTCAGAAACCCGAGGGGTCGCTATGCTGTGTCCTTTGGGGTGGCTCTGAGTGGGAATCGACCCAGTAGCCATGAGTTTGATTTGGTTTATTCCTGGGTTCAAAGGAAGCTGATTTTGTAAAGTGATTTCCTACTTCTTCTTGTCTCCCCTTCACCCAGATGAATTTATCTTATACTGAGTTGATAAGGAAAACTGCACTGTCTGCAACTAGTAGATGTGGCTGCCACATTGAGGAGTTCTCTGATGTGATGCAGAGGTTTCCATATCCCCACCCCCATGTCCCCTGGCCCAGCTGGATGATCTAATTCACCTGCTCCCATCATTGCTTTTGACGATTGTCCTGGTGGGGACAGGAGACCCTGCCATGGGTCGCCCACCTCTGTGGGCCCCTGGGAAAAAGGGTCCATTTTAGATGGGCACAGCAGCACCCTGATCTTGTCACTGCAACAAGTCTTTGACGAAAAACCAACTGCTAAGGAGAGTGAGGGCGGGAGGTGGGGAGGACGGAGTGCGTTTGGGGCTCATCATGGTCAGCGATGATGCCATCGTCAGTTGGCAGGCTTCTTCGCTCCGTCTGACATTCCCCTTCCTTATCTGTGCAAAGCTCCTCCAGAATGGCCTCTAGTAAACAACTGTCGGGAACATGGGCGAGGAGTGTACAGAGTGGGAGGGCTCGTGATGGGAGCAGCTTCCTGCTTGGCCCCAAGGCGGTAGGGGAAGAGTCTCTGGCCTAAATGGTATTCACATTCCAAGAAGAAAAATCTCTTTGGGCCCTTAAGCCGCAGACAGGATGTTTTCCCTTTACTGATGACGTTTCTCCCTCTCCGGCTCTTGAGTGCAGAGTGTCTGAGCTGGGCGAGGCATTGGGGGTCGGCTGGCCCAGCCGACTCAGTATTCAGATGGGGAAACTGAGGCTGGGCCGGGTGGGTGGGGAGTGTGAGGATTGGGCTCAAGGCTTTGCAATGGAAAGAACTAAAATGAGCATCCCAGGCCTGGCCCTGGCCCAGGGCCCTTCTCCTGAAGCCCTGAGGCTCTCCTGGCCTCTGCCCTGCCCTTACTACAGCCCTGTTTTTCCAGAAGCCCTGCCAGCAAGCAGTTCCTAGGAATGGCGGCACTGCCCCTAGCAGCGCCACACTGTCATGCTTTTAAAAGCCATCAGGGAGCCGAAGCAGCGGGCACTGGGGCATTTAACATTTGCGGAAGCATCTGAATTAACGCAACATCTGAGCAGCAGTTAAGCCTCTGCTTTTAGTACCTTGCTTCCTGTTGCAGAACCTCGTAATGGGACAGAGAAGAGCTGCCCGATGCCATGGCAAGAATGAGGAGGGACATGACCCCTTCACAAACACCCCTCATCTGGCTGTGAGCCCACTGGGCTGGCCCTTTCTCGTAGGAGCCACCCCAGTGCCCTCCTTAGCTGTGCAGTGATTCATCTGGCCACGGGTCACCCCCCTGAGGCCCCGGGACCATGGGTTAGAAACCTCTCCCTCCTGAGGGAATGGAGCCATGGGTACCAAGAGCAGGAGGACCAAGGCCCTGGCTAAGGCCGTGGCCTCGTTCAAGTAATCCAGGATAGGCTGTGCAGGTCCCAATGGGCCTATTCTCGGTTACTTGCATGGGGACGCGGGCCTGGACCCCGACCTTCCTCTCTGCCAGTGGCGCCCACGCCAGAGTTCTCGAATCAGTCCCCTGAGTGGCCAGGAGCTGGCCTCTGCCCTTTGCACTAAGCCAACATTGCTTCTCTAAGTGATGTTCCCAGGGAAACAGACCCACGGTGCGCCTGCTCCCTCTCGGCGGAGACTTCCTTATGGTCCGCCACGTCTGGAGCCGCGCTGGCACCCAGGAGGCTCGTGGGAAGAGCAGGGAACTTGGAGCTGCTGCCCTCGTCCTCCCAGCTTCCCGGAGCAGTGTTGGCATCTCCCGAGGCTGTCTCACGCCTCTGGCCCACCACTCTCTTGGGGCCACAGACCCAGCACCACCAACTCTTTCAGCTTGCTGGGACCCCTCCACCACGCCCAGGCTTTTCTGAGTGCCTGCCTCGGGCAGGTCGGTTCTGTGTAGGGTTTCACCCTGGGCAGCACATCCTCCACGTGGTACAGAGCCCTAGCCAGCTTCCCTGCTGGTGGCAGTCCTCTGCTTCTCCTCACCTCCTGAAGGACGAGACCCAACTGTTCCCTCTGCCACGCAAGGCTCTTGGTGGGCTCCTCACATGCCTCTTCCTCCTCCTCCTTCCCTCTCCCTGAACCCCTCTTCTGCTACGGCCCACAGGGCTGGGGCCATCCTCTAACATCCCCCAATCTTTCTGGACCCCATGTTCTTATGGTGACTTCTGCTTGGGGGCTGGCTGCTTCTCACCTTCAGGGATCTAGCAAGCTCTTCTTTATCCACCCAAGGCCAAAGCCCAAAGTTGCTGTGTTAGACCGGGTTGACTAGAGAAACAAATCCAGAGGCACTCATGTGCATATAGGAAAAAGCTTTATATCAAAGAGCAATGATATATTAAGAAAACATCCCAGCCCAGTGCAGCTCAAGCCCATAAGTCCAATACTAGTGCATATGTTCGACACAGGTCTATAAATTCCTCTTCAGACTCAAGCAATGCATGCAATAACACCAAATGCAAGAAGACCACAGGCTGGTGGGTGGAAAGTCTTGATCCAGTGGTGGTGGAAGCATCTCCAGGGCTCTGGCTGCCATCAGTGTGGCTTCATGTGGCTTGTCAACAGGAATATGATGCAGAGAGAGTATGTGTGTGTCCCACCTCCAGGGAGGAAGACAGGAACTCCCAGAATCCTCAGGAGAAGGCCACGCCCACGAGGAGGGATCAACTGGCCTGTAACCTGATTGACAGGCTATACTCCACCCCTTCATTCAAGTTGACAGGAGATTAAGTAACTGCCCTAGTTACCCTTTATGATTCCCTTCTGTTGAGAGGGCAGTTCATTGTCCTTAAAGTATCCTCGACTGTGATTTTCATGAGGTCCCTGGGTTGGCGCCAGCAGTTCACACCCGGCTGCTAACTCAAAGGTTGGTGACTCAGCTCCACTTGACATTGCGCGGGAGAAAGGCCTGTCAATCTACTTCCGTGGAGTTGTGTCCTTCCTCGCTAATATGCGGGAGGACGCTAGGAGTCCCGAGTCAACGGGGTGCCTGAGGTTGATAACTTGGATTGTGCCGTGTGTGTGTGTGTGTGTGTGTGTGTGTGTGGTGTTTCAGGTGTTTCTGTTAACGTGTGTTCTAGACTGTGAGCTCTTCAAGGGCAAGGCTGGGTTGTGTTCATCTTTGCAACTCCCTGCAGGCTGAGCACAGAGCCGGCGCTCAGTAAACATGAATTGCGTTGGATTTTAACAAGTCGGATTTATTTTAGGGAAGTGGCTGATTTCTGTTGGGATTTATTCAAGTCTTCGTTAGTTGCCTCCTCCCCCTCCCTCTATCTTCTCTCGCCAGCAGCACTGCCTTCTCTCCCCCATCCCCACGTGTTTTCCTCAGTCATCCCAGCTTCCCAGTGGGAGCCCCAGGGTGGGCTGCAGCCTGGCTTTCTCACTCCGGCCCCACCTGGCCCCAAGGCTGTGTGGAAGGAGCCTGCACTCTGTCCCATTCTGCCCCCAGACTCCTCCCAGTGGCTGTTTACGGGGGTAGGGGTGGGAGCCTGGGAGGGGGTGGGGGTGGCCGGCCTGGGAACAGGCAGCTTCCCCTCATGTAAAAGCCTGTCTGTGTCACACCCGAGCACGGTGCCCTCAGTGATGCCAAGTAGACAGCTCCCCAGGCCAACCTGGAAGGTACTCCGTGCGGAGTTGCTGGGCCTGAGCTTCCACCCCAGGCCATGCTTGTGGGGAAGCAGTCCAGTGAGACTAGAAGCAGGAGTGACAGTGGGCTGGACCCAGAGCTGGGGAAGGATGGCCCTCAGACGTCGTGGGCACATGTCCGGACCAGGGCTGGCTTAGAGCAGGGCCCAGAACCCTTGTGTCGCCATTGAGTTGCTTCAAACAGCGCAACCCTC